GATGGATTTATTACTATTAACAGCAGACATCAGAAGATTAATTGCTCAAGTTAACTTCCAACAGTAGCAAGAGGTGTTGGCAAATAGCAAACCAGACCTCAGAAATACTTGCACCAGGCGTAAGGAATCCATATAGAACCACAGAATGGCACGGGGTGGAAGAGACCTCAAAAATTATCTAATTCCAACCCCTCCGCCATGGGTTGGCTGCCCCAAGTTGCTCAGTACCCCCTCCAGCTTGGCTCTGAGCACCTCCAGCTCTCTGAGCAGCCTGTGCCAGTGCCTCACAGCCCCGTACGGCCATAAAGCAACTAACAGGAGAAAAACAAATCAGCTGGAGTCATGCCTACAAAGCAGACAGCCCTCCCTCATGCTGCCAGCTGTCACAGCACAAAGCCCAACAGCTTGCTGTGTGTCAGCAGCTGCACACAGACTTGGCTTTTCACCTGCTGCACGGGGCTCAATGGTCAATGCCAGCTTGCAGAGCACTGCTGTGAGGTGAGTGTCCTCAGGCTACCTCGCTCTCGCAGCACCGTCTGTCTGTCCCAACTAAAGCTAACATCACAGTCATCTATCATCCTTGGAGGAGAGACTGCAATCCCATCCACTGACTTGATTTTCCAATCATAAACCAAATCTGAAATGAGTACCCAATGGGAACCACCTGTAGGAGGTGAACCATTCTACAGAACTCGAGCAAAGAAAAAGCACTTTCAGAAGAGAAAGAGTGGTGCTACATTAAGAAGAAATACATAAAGTTACCTTTATATCAGCAACTGTAGGGATCTTCTCTTCCAAAAACAGCTCCCCAAGGCGATCATCTGAATTAGCAACACATTCAATCAGTTCCGAGCGCCGTTCTGCAGCCTCAGCTCTAAACTCAGCTGGAATTTCATCGTAGCGAACCGTCTGGCTAAACACACAAACATAAGGGCTCTGAAGGAACAGCACACGGATCAGCCTCCCAGCCACCAGTCATTGTGATGACTGGCCTGACCAAGAAAAACTCACTGGTGATACGGATGTACAAAAAAGCATGCAAGAATATCAAATTGCTGTTTCTTATGCCTAGCAGGCAAGGGTTCTTCCTGCTCACGGTTGGAGTTTGTGAGGTTGCAGGGTAAGCTGTGCAGCTGCACCACGCTGTATCATCATCCCAGGAAGCTCAGGCCAAACGCAAGCTGTCAGGTCCCGCTGTGCAGCAGGTCTCCCAGCTCCCCGTGTGCTGAGGACTGCCACCACCCACCGCAGCCACAGAACCATTCCTGCTACAGCCACCACTCACTAAACCTGACTGCACCACCACTGTGCCAGAGAGACACACCTCAGCCCTACCACAAGCTGCATCCCTAACCTTCACAGCAGCAGGCTGCTTCATCTCTGAAGGGAAGCTATGGTTTCCCTTGGTGCCATTACCAATGCAAAGAGTAACTTCAGCAGAAGAAGCACACAAGTTTTAAACCTTACCCAAACGTGCCATCAAAATATATAGCTCTTTCTTCTATTAGATCTATAACTCCTTTAAAGTTTCCTTCCAGCCCCATTGGAATCTGGACAAAAGCTGCATTGTGTTTTAACTTGGACCTGAAAAATTGAGCAAACATTGATTAAGGAAAAAAAGTCATTTCCATACATGTGTCCCAGATGTTTTTTTAAGCAAGATCCTATTCTTATACAGCATCATACTTTGTTACGATGACAAATGCCTGCTTGCATTTTAACCTGAGTGACTGCCAGACTTCTATATTCCAACCGAGAGCGAGCAACTTCCATGGGAAATAAATGGCAGTGCAACCTACTTTCAGATCAATTACTTGATGGGAGTTCCTTCTCCCTTATTGACTATTATCATAGATGTCTCACGGATGAGATTAGGCACAGGAAGGTGGCACATACAGGTGGGGCTCCAGGTAGGTGAACCGGAAACTGCCAACCTCGAGTCGTGGCCCTGCTGTGAACTTCAGTGCATCTGCCACCAGCATCCAGGAAAAATCAAAAGGCTGGTTTTGAAGTGGCTCCACATACAGTTCCAGCATCAAAATCAAGAAGCCAACACTGAGACACTGTAAGTCTAGGCTGATGCTAACTATTGTTTCACTCCCTTTTTCTTAACAAAAGGGAGAGTCTTTGGAGTTCAGAGTAAGATTTAACCCAAAGTCATGCATTACCTCCCAAAACGCACCTACAAACTCCAAAAGAGAACATTTTTCAATATTATCAGCATTAATGTGCTACATGAACTGTTCAGAACTAGCTGACAGGTAAGTTGAAGTGATAAATACCTCATTTGTTGCACTGCTCTGGATGGACTGGAGCCCATCCTGTCCAGCTTATTGATGAATGTTAAAAACGGCACATTGTAACGTTTCATTTGCCTGTTCACAGTTATGGTCTGGCACTGAACTCCTCCCACAGCACAGAGAACCAGAATAGCTCCATCGAGAACCCTCAGAGATCTCTCCACTTCAATGGTGAAGTCCACGTGCCCTAAGTAACAATAAGAACACAAAAGTTATTCATAGATGATAAAGAATAACAAGTAATTGTTCCCTCGTGGCTGCAGGGGCAGTGCAATCAATCTCCAGCCATAAGGAACACACCACAGTGGCACAGCATCAGCCCCTCAGCAGCACAGTGAGGGCACCACGCTCCCCGTTCACACAAAGGAATGGCAGCCTCACAGCATCAGAGCTGCTGCTACCTGGCGTGTCTATGATGTTGATGTTGGTGTCCTTCCACATGGTGTACGTGGCCGCAGACTGGATGGTGATTCCACGCTGTCGTTCGAGCTCCATTGAATCCATGACAGCTCCAACTCCATCCTTACCTCTCACCTTAGCAAAAAAAAAAGAAAAAAACTTCAGTCCAAGAGAGTTTACTGCGAATCTGCTATGGGTGATGCTTCATCTGGTGAATATCATCTTTCTGGCAGCGATGAAAAGGAGACGTTAGAGAATCGCTTACAGCTCTTGAAATGCAAACAAACCTGATTTTTTTGTAGTGTCATTTACTCTGATGGTGGAACTAGATGGCCCTAGGGGCCTTTCCTAACCTTAACAGTTCTCTGATCCTATCCTTTAACGTCCTTTGCTCCCCCGAGAATCAGTCACAAAAGAGATCATCGACAATTGGCAGCCAATTATACTTTGCTGTGAACTCCATAAGCTAACGTACCTGGACTCAGAAATACAGCCCTGGATTCTCTCTGTTTCTCACAACTGCCTTCTGCTGAATCAGAAGCAGCTCACACCTCCTGCAGCATATTTACCAGAGACACGAGCACAGAACTAGGGGATGGAAGGGACCTCTGGGCATCCCCAGCCCAACCCTCTAATGCAGCATGAAAGCACACAGGTGGGTTCGTGTATCTGCACAGAAGGAGACCACGCCACCCCACGGTAAGGGAGCCCTTCCTCACACAGAAGGAGGTCCGGGGATCCCAGCGACGCCCACCTCGTGCATCTGCGCGATCCTGCCGGTGTAGAAGAGGACACGCTCGGTCAGCGTGGTCTTCCCCGAGTCGATGTGTGCCGAGATGCCGATGTTGCGGATCCGCTCGTTGGGAAGGACGGCCGAGGAGCAGCGCCGGCAGGCATTGAGGAGGAACTGAGCGGAGAAAGCCGGTTCGCTGCGGAGCCCCGCCTCTTCTGCCCTCCCCCAAGCCCGCCGCCCGGCCTTCCCCTTCTCTCGCTCCCCGTTCACACCGCGAAGTCCCTCCCGCCCACCTCAGCGAGCCCTCATGAGGCCCCGCAGGCAGGTTCCTCCCTCCCGGCCCGCCGTGCCCGAGTTGCCTTCACCCCGTGCCCCGCCGCCGCCCCACGCACGTCACCACCCGCTACCTGCCGCTACCTGCCGCCGCCCGCGGCCCCGCGCCGCCCGCACCGCCCGCAGCATGGCCGCTCCCTGCCGCCCCGCAAGGTCGGGACGCCGCTTCCGGGGTCACCGCGCATGCGGGGTCAGACCGGAAGTGAGCCCCGACCGGAAGTGGGGGTGCGCCGCGCCAACGCGGAGCTCGAAGAATGGGTTGGAATGAACGGAGCGCGGCTGTGATAGCGCTGCGCCGCAGCAGTGCTGTAAATAAAGGGAGGAGCGGCGGGTTTTACAAAGCACAACGCCCGCACTGCCGAACGCGCGGTCACAGCAACAAGGCAAGATCGTGTCAGACATCGACTGCACGGCACAGCTCTGCAAGGGGGAAAACGGATCTCCATGGTCAGCTGGGACAGACGCACCTGCTGGCTGCGTGTTGAAGGCTTCAGCTGAAACCTGCCCTTCTAAGAAGTCAGCACTGCCCGACTTCTTAGATTTGATAGATCAGATATTGCCACAATATCCAAACATCCCAACATAAACCAGGAGGTGGGTCTGATGCAGTTGTTCTGCAGTTATCCCTCATTTAGTGCCAAGTGAGAGCACATGAATAACAGCTGTTAGGTTACTCACTGCTGCTCATATCATGGAATCGTGGAATTGCTCAGGTTGGAAACGACCTTAAAGATCATCAAGTCCAACCACAACCTAACCATACGACCCCAACTCTAACAGCCCTCTGCTAAATCATGTCCCTGAGCACCACATCCAAACGGTTCTTAAACACATCTGGGGGCAGTGACTCAACCACCTCCCTGGGCAGCCCATTGCAGTGCTTACTCAACCCTTGCTATAAAGAAGTTTCTCCTGATATCCAACCTAAAGCTCCCCTCATACCTCTCTATGAAGCTGTATAACATTTTGCATTTAAAGATTTGAAAAAGTAGGTGCTATGATTACCCCAGGAAGTGTCAGTCCTTGATACAAGAGCTGTTCTGAAAATTAAAACACCTCAGTCTCACCCCTGGCTGCTTCCTTACAGCAACGTTCCTTCCTGTGCAGTAACTGCTTTGCTCCTGGAAACATTCCTCTACTCCACTACTGAGCCATATGGAGGAGTGCTCTGAAGAAACCCTAAACTAAGTAAAGCACAAATCAGTTAGGGCGTTCAGTAATCCAAACACTAAGCATAAACAATAAATAGCTCTTTATTAAAGAATTAAAGTTTCAGGTGTTCCTACGTAGAACAATTTCTTGCATAACATTTTCACATTGCTGTGCATGACAAAGTGATCCATCACGTTTGCCTCTTCCCAATGTAATTTCACAACCAGTGCTGTTCTCTCTGTATGTTCACCCATCCCAGGAGCACAGGCAAGAATGTAAGTGGTCAGATGATGGACAGATGAATGCTCTGTGAATTAGAAGCACCCCTCAAATCAAAGATTTCTGCTTAAGTGACAGCATGGTAATGTTTTCTGTTGTTTATCATTGGGAAATTTCTGCCATGGCAGTGACAACTGCCCTTCAGGTTTGTTGGTTGTTTTTTTTTTTTGCATGTTAATAAAATACACTTTTTTATAGATTCCTCAGATTAAACAACTTCCTCAGAGAAACTTATTTCCTTTTTAGCTGTATGAATATTAAACTATTTTTCTTTTATCATACAAACAGTGTCTTTTTCGAAGGCTACGCTGTCTTAGCCTTCAGTTCATAGCATTTACACTACGGCATATATGCTACAGCCTACAGAAATTATTTCCTCTACAACATGAGATCAATTCCGAATTTGACAGCACACAAACTCAACACTTGTAATACAAAGACATTTCCAGTTCTCAGTCACAGTTTGCTTTCCTCATGAACACCAGACTCTTCCACCAAACAATAATGACAGAAGTACTGAGGGAAACCAAGTGTTAGCTTTCAGGATCCTTCTAGCTCTACTATTCAGGGCAGAAAACATCACAGAGCTCACCTCAGCTGAGGCAGAAAATGGCTTCCTGTGCAGAGGGATATTTTAGCTTTCTGGAACAGAAGAAATGGTGCAGCCATTATCCAGCTGAACTGCTCTCTGCTGAACCATTTCTCCAATGAAGTAATAGTTCCATCTGAGTATTATCACAGGATAATTGAAAAATACTACAGATGGCCTTCAGGAATGAAAAATAAAGCGCCATCTCCAAAAGAAACAAAGGATCAGAAATATGAGAATAACAGCCTAGGGGCAGAGAACGAGGGATGCGAGCACCATTTATGAACATAATGTTGATTAACTAACACATAAAGAAGCATTTGCTATTTTAGTATTCTTCTCACTCTTCTTTGTTTTAAAATCAAGATGAATTTGGGAATTCTGTACCAATTTACCATATGATTTTAAATCTGTATATGCAGTGCCTACAGTGTACTGTAATTCCTACCGACTGCTTCGTCACCAAAACAATTAATAATTATTGTGACAAAAGAGGAGAATTTACTTTCTGTGTGAGTTATACAGTGTGGAGGGGAAAAGGTGGTTTCACTGGGGTTAACAAAGAGTCTGAGAATGGTGCAACTGTGGTGGAAAAAACGACTTTGCTACCAAAGCAGATGTTTTACATCAGAATTGGTGATAAACCATTAAAGTGCTTCTAAGTGGACAGGACTTTTTGTTGGTTTTGTGTTTTTTTTTTGCTTGCTTCTTGTCTTTCCTTTTAAAATGACTTAACCTCAGATCCAAAGGTTTATACAACATTCAGTAGTCAAAAGATTAGAGTAGCAAGGCAAACTAACACTAAAACAAAAGACAGATTGGTCATATGTACGTGTATACTTATATTAACAGGAGCAGTGCAGCACCATTTTTTCTGAACAAACTGCATCCCAATGGACTACTTCTTGCTGCTTTTGATGGGAACGTGTGTTCCTTTCACACTGAGGTTGTTCTCCATGGAAACTCTCGGTCCCCTGAAGCCCACAGACGCGAGTGGTTTCTCTCTGAAACAAAAAACAACAAGAATAACAACCACCATACGATACAGGGACAGGGAAATAAACATGTATGCATGTTTTTCATTACTCATGTGAAGGTCTAGTTATTCTGTTTGTAAAACAGATTTCACCTTCCCTCCAGAACTACACCATGGAGTTGAACTGCTTTCTCCTCTTGCACAGCTGATGAAAACAACAAAACAGCTCAGTTTGAAAAAGGAACTTGAAGGTAAAATTACATATATAGTAAACCTCCAGGACTGAAAAGGTGCCAGAGGAAACATGCTGTGTCAGTTACCTAAGAGGAGTATTTCCCTTTTGCAACCTGTTAAAGGCAGTGCACCTTCTACTGAAATGGGGGAAAAAAATCTGAAGCATGGTGGATAACAAGCTATGCAGAGCTGGGTCCTGAGTTTAGAAACAAAGTGCACACCTCTATGCAAACTCTTCTGATTAGAAGAGGCCTCATTTGAAATTTAACTCAGAAGAGAGGAGCATGCCTTCATTTCTACCAAAGAGAATGATCAACTTAGCCCTCAATAAGCATTTTACCTTAACACAACTAATCCAGTTACACTACGAAGAGGAGAGAGCATTAACATTACGTGTAATGAAGCTAAGAGCACTGGCATGCATCTCTAGGGAAAAAACCAAACACTCCCAACATTTTGGCCTGGTCAATCACAAAGTAATTTGCACAGTCAAAATAATGACTTCTTCAAAGTTTAGTTCATAAAATACTGCCTTGTTATTCCTTACAGTGTCACAGAAATGCAGGAGCAAAACATGCTATTCCTCCCTGCATTGCCACTAAGCACTGTTTGCTCATCAACAGATTACTTGCCACTTCAGAACTGTATTTCTATTCTGTTGCTAACACTGCCATGATACAACACTATTTTTACCACTAGTCCATCTTCCTTATGTGTGTGTTGAATGCTGCTGTACCTTGGAGCATCTAAATTGCACCTGCTTCTCGATGGCTTGAACTTGGAAATCTCTTTCTGCCACTCCTCATCAAAAGACTGAGCCTCATCTGAAAGAGAGGGAAAGTTCCATTTGAAATAGATGCAAACAGGACAGGAAAAAAAAACAACCATTCAATGAATATCAGAGTTTTGAACAGTGTTCTTTTAGACTGGTGGCCTGCAAGTCTTTACATAACCTGCAGACCATCTCTATGGTATCTGCAAGAGACAACTAAAGCTTGTCACAGGTAGGCTTAAATTCAGAAGATTACAATGAAAGTCAGTGTGCTGCGTGGTTAAAACAGGCATCTGGTTTTACATCTCTTAAATACATGATTTTTATTACCAGTGTAAGCAGGACAGCCACATAACACACAGAAAATAGAACTGTTCTGATAAATACTTGTTGAAAAACATAAATCATTTAAGGTACCTTCAAATATGAATAAATATTATAATTTGTACTGTTTTCTTGTATAGCACACCATTTAAGTTTAACTGGCTACTTTAGCCTCAGATTAGACTTTTATTGTAAGCCCACTTTGCAGGCTTAGCACTTTCTGAGACATGAGAAAAGGGATTGGTTTTCAAGCTACAATTTCAAGATTGGTATGGGAACCATTAGTGTAACAACATGGGAAGTGCATAAGGGACACACTTTCATCCAAGTTGATGAACTCTTGGTTCATTTCTTCATCACCAGTCTTCCTGTTCTTTGATTTTTTCACAACGTGGGCACGATCACGGATGTGATGACCAATAGCCATTTTTTCCACTCCACTTTCAGAATCCTTCAGTGCTTTTCTTATTTCCTTAACCTGTACCAAAAAAGAAAAAAAAGAAATCAACGACCTTCGAAAGACAACAATAAAAAAGAAGGTAAGATAAAAAATATTAGTTTTCTCCTCCTTTTTTGAAAAAGCTAGTTGTTACACACTTTTCCAACTCCCTCATTTCTTCTATTGGCAGAAAAGACAGCTCAGATCAAGTCTATTTTCTTCCTGCCAGCAAAGATTAAACAACAACATCCCAAACTCCATAAGCAGCACACATGCTGGATATTAACTGCTGGGAAAAAAGTCTAGTCTAAATATACTACACACAGACACGTCTTCAACATTCCCCTTGACAACAGAATGAATAATAGCTGATGCCAATACTCTCAGCATGAAGGGACAACTAATTGCTAGGCTGGCACGTTGACCCAGCAACCACTTAACTCTGTGTTCATAAGTATATTATTAGAACCTTTTTGATAACCGAGTGTCTGCTTGAGCATGAACACATCCCACAGCCAAGCGTGCTCAACGGCCTTTACTGCTCACATATAGTCTTTCATGAACCTTGCTTCAGGGTTCAAATTCAAATTCAGATTTCTTAGCAGAATGAGATGCAACAGCTGCAATGAAGTCAATGAAAGGGCATCTTCATCTGAAGCACTACACAAGCATTTAGAAGGACTTGAGGAAAGGGTATGATTTGAAGCCACGCTCTACACAAATGGGCTGCCTTTTGTTATCTTCTACTGTAGACACACTTTTAACTGCACAAATGGTGAATTAATTACAGCAAAGAGGAAAACACTGGAGACCACCATGAGAAATAAGCAGTTTGGCACTCAGTTTTTCCAGCTTTTGCTCGGCCTGCTATTTGTGTAGATGCATACTTCAGAGAAGTACAAACGACAAGGACAAAAGCAGCACGTCTGCACAAAGCGCCTTTACTGAAGAGCAGTATTCACACAGACACGTATTTTTCTAAATTATAGGAGTACCTGTCTGCTACAGGAATAAGCAGAGAAACCATAGAAGACCTTGCTCTGCAATAACAACATACCACCTTCCTGCTGCATCTCAAGCCTACTTACACCTCCTGGAGCCGTGCGCGTCTGAGCTGCAGCTTGGAAAACTTTGGGAGGTTCATCGCCCACTTTGGAGTACGTCATCACAGAGGAGGAGCTGAAGGTGTGTGCATCTGGGTGCACAGACAGGTCATCCTGCGAGCAACGTAGGCTTCTTTTAGTAAGTTAAAGTCTGTGGGTAACGCACCTCTTACTTCTACAATTACCAACATGAGAACAAAGAGCCCTCTGAGAAATTAACTCTCAGCCCTGGCACCACAGTTATGGCTGCTGAGAGCAGCCCCAGCACCAGACAGGGCCTCGCTCTTGCCCTGGCACTGTCTGGGCACAGGTCTCCCCATACTGCTCACAGGCTTGCTCTGGCACAGCTCAGTTTAGTGGAGAACAGAACCTCTAAGACCAGATCACCCATGCACAGCATGTAACAAGTTGTAGGAAGTTGCAGTCTTCTTCTCGGCAAGATTTTGAGTAATGTTTTAAACAACTCTCATTCTCCAACACAGTTTTAAAATAAATGTAAAATAAACTTACAAATTTTCTTTGCATCTCCAGCATGCTGTTTCTCATATTTGACATCATTCTGTCCATTGCAAAAAAAGGATCCCCAAAATCTGCATCTTGCTAAAAAAAAAAAACAGTTAAAATTATAACAAAGTTTGCTAATTCTTCAATTTGAGGCTGGATTTTGACATGCATTTATTTTTTCTGCAAATCAAGACATCAGTAGGGCTTTCATAGTCTGCAGTTCATAACCATAGACAAGCCAAAATTAGTCTTTTTGACTGAAAAACTGAAAGCTAGCATAAGAAACTTGATTGTTAAGTTGGAGATACTGGAAAGATAGAAGTAAAAGATTTCTAATACTCAAATGTCAGAGAAAGCTCATACTGAGGCCACTTTGCATGAGCTACTGTTACTTATACACTAGCCTGACAAGTTTCTGCAGTAAGAAGTAATGTGTGACCCTCCCTGCTTTACATACCTGCTGAAGACCACATTATCTTTGTCATGCAAATCCCTTAATGCATATGGAATCAGCCTGCAAACCCAGCTCAGACCACACAGTCGTTCCTTTGCAGAAGCAAGTGGTTGTTCAAGTAACACATGGGCAACCAGGGAAAGCCAGGGAATCATAACTTGGAATTCTAATGGCAGCTTAATTACCCAAGGCAATGGATACGTCCAATAAAACATCCATTATTTTTATGTAAGCAGAAGGTCCAGTTTTACATACGCAATGTTAAGCCAGGTTTACATGCAGAATTTTATTAGTACAGCTTGCAACTGATGGCATGTACTGCTTGTGCAGATGAAAGCTACCTTTGGTGGAAAACAAGCCTAAAAATACCAAAGAGAGAGACTGAAGAACAAAGCAGAGAAAGGGCAAACTATCCTAAGCGGCCATCTGGGAAGATAGCAGCACAGTCCCAAACGAGCATCCTCCTCTGGGCTCCTCTCCAGCACAGCAGGTGGGGATGATTTTCACCATGCCTTCTCCCTCCTTCTGTGAACTTTCACTTGGGAGCCGCTCGAGCTCCCTGCTGGGCTGCCTGCTTTCTGACATCAGCAGCTCTGATGAAGCGTGCTAATCAGGTGCAAACACAGCACAGGGGTTTTTCAGTTTCAGCAAGAAGCTGCAGAGCTGGGAAGGAAAGGCAGGCTGCAGGGCTGCACGCAGCAGGCCCTTAGCATTACAAGGTGCTACGAAATGCAAGCATGCTTATTACAGGGGCACGAAGCTCGCATTCCTCCAACTGCTGCATATGTGAATCATTAGATTCAAACTGCTCATTTAAGCAAGCTTTTATTTAAACACTGAGGATCTGCAATAAATAAATACCCAGTACCAACAAGAGTAGGTTGCACGCACGCCAAAACTAGCCTTTGTCCATGCTCTAGTTATGCAGACAGTACACGTTTTAGCAAGAGTTACACAAACTGTTTCTTCTGGGATACCAACCACTCTCCCAAAGCCTGAAAAGGGCAGGAGGGAATAGCTTGTTGCCTGGAAAAAACATTAAAAAGGATTCACATCTTTTAGTTATTGTATGTAGCACGGGACAAAGCAGCAATACCTACTGCACCACCACGTGCGGCGTGTGGTATTACAACTCTCCTGATCAAATAAAGACCTTGATGGAGGTCTTGAGGACTTGCAGTGTGCTACAACACAGCATGAAGCAACCAGGGTATACAGCAGCAAAATATTTAAGACTAATTATAATTTAAGTGTCATGACAGCTAATGCTCTTTAAGTCACGTTCATATATGGGTACTGGAAGATCTTGGAGGGGGCTTGTATGACATAACAACCTGAGTGCTGAAATTATCTAAGATAAGGTACAGCAATTCAGAGTCACCCACTTCTCTGGAAACACTTCATTCTATTCATGCAGTAGAGCCCCATCACTGGAACTTGATTAAAAACAACAAATCAACAGCCCTGCTTTATGTAAATTTATGTAATTAAATTTCAGAAGGCTGGTCATTTTTTAAGCACTAAAAAACTCTAAATGATGCAGATGACCTGTTCACGAGAGCTCTTTGTGTGTTAAGAGAGTGATATAAATATAAAAGGTTTCTCTAAAATATCCATACATCCCTTACAACAAAATGAAGTGCAATTTGTCAGCAGTTTCAAAGGTCATTGCAAAGAAGATCTAAGTCAATCTATCATCATGCGTAGAGCAACCCGAAGACAAGTTCCCCCCTTCAGCATGTTATACACTTCTGCAGTTGTATAAATAGATGTAGCTATAAACACCAACAAATACAGTTCCTGTTTGTCCAGCTGATATTGAATAACCCTATACGACAGGGTAATTAAATGCTGGAAAACAAATCAGTGTTTCTAGGAAGCTAAGGTTGGAGAGTTACATAACAGCTTACCTAAAGAAGGTCTGGTTAGATGGAATACGAGACACTTCACCAGAGCTTTAAGCACAGAAGCAAGGAATTATCTGATCCCTGAATAACTTTATCAGCTCTCCTAGATTGTGGTGCTACCACAGGGTGATAGAAAACAACGTGATGGTATCGAGTACAAAAGGATATAGTCAGAAATAAAATTAGTATGATAACAAGTTCCCAAAGTCCTAATTTTACAATGAACACTAAAAGCTGTTAGGCACCAATGTTATGTATGCCCATGAGACATCCTACTGACCAAGCTTCTGTTGAACTGCAGTTCCCCACCACGTTGATTAGAACTAAGACTGTCACAGAAGTGCAAGGCAAGCTCTCTCAAGACATCCCACCCATTCCTCCTGCTCACATCCCTTCCTTCCCCTTCCCTCTCCAAGTGACTCTGTAGTAACACTGGAAACCTGTATGAGAAATGAAAAGCCTTTTCAAGTTTGAATGATACAGTCAAAGCTACCATGCACGCTAAGTTGTAACAACGAACCTCTTGCTTTGTAAGGCACTTTTCAGCAGCTACAGTTTACTCGAAGGAATCTGTAGGGGAAACTGCAACACGGTGTACTTTACATGGCAGTAAAGACCTCCATTTTTTCCCTACACAAAAATCAGTTTATTTATTCTTAAGTGTTGGAGTAATTTCTAAAGAAACACCAGTAAAAGCAGTTCATTGACAACCATAAGGCTCAAGTAATCAGCGTGGAGTTTTCTGTGACATCTTACACCTCCCAGGTGAAAGATGACAAACATTAAAAGATACTGAAAACATTTTTGCACGTGTGGGATTCTTTTGTGCTTATCAAAACAACACAGTGCTCCTGTACCTTTAACTCCTTTCTGTAACCACAGGTAGAAGTATTCTTTACCTTATTGCTTTGTTGCCAACAGTAAGGCATAAGCTGTCCTAGGATATTAAGGAAAAGAGACCTGCTGCTTTCCAGCATCTCTTGAACTAAGGCCTAACAATCAGCTTCAGCAGACAAAAAGATCATGCTCTGATTACATCCAACAACATCTATATTTGAAACTAACCGGCCCCATATGAGCGCAGAGGAAGGAATCTGGCAGTTACCCTTTGACACACAGGCGACACTGTGTTTCAGCTATGCTTATCAAGCTCTTAACACCTAGGTTTGAATAACAACAACCAAACCCAGTTCAGTTCCACAACTCCCTCTGATGTTTTGTCTTCCAACTGCTCTTTGGAATCAAGCGCTCAATGTTGTAGCAGAGACTGTTCAAAGTATTTCAGCTGGGGGAAGGAAAGGAGCCAACAGATGTACATCCTTTCTAAATACAGATAAAGCTTAGCTGCAGAAGTAAAAGCTGTACTTGTCCTGCATGCCCAGCCTGCTGTAAAGGTACCTTATGTAAAACAGATTGTTACCAACTTCTCATTTGCAGATAGTAGCTTAGAGAAATACCAGGTTCCTTGAAATGGCCCGACTCTTTAATTAGTGTATCCAGAGAAAACTTATTAAGAACCAGACCAGACACAGAACAAGAAGCCTCATCCACACCAAAGAAACTGAAGCAGGGCTTACAGTACCTGTGCAGGTACTGCCAAGTGGCTGAAACACCACGTTGTGCTTCAATCCTCTTTTAACAGTGTCCAGAGAAGGCTCTGCCTTCGGACACTTAAAACCTTCCTGCAGTAGCAATATTTAATAACATTCATTTTAACAGGCATTTGATAAATATTTGTACTTCTTGTTCATTTCATTAAACGTTGTATATTCAATGTTTAACACGCACATTTGTTTCTGTTAGAACTAAAAGCACAATGTGTTTATTGCTTAGCACTGACAAACACTTAAACAATGAGCCAGTGAGGAATAAAGAGAGAGATTCTCATCTCACTGTTACGAAACAAGCTGACCAAGGCCGCAGCAGTTGAGCCAGGCTCCATTTCCACTGGACCAACTCAGTGGGAGTGGGAACACGAAGCCAGCTCTGTTAGCAGTCAGTGCAAACCGTGCGTAGCGGTGCTCAGAGATCAAGAAGTGACTTACTCTGCGATTTCCTCTCAGAGCAACCTGAGAATCCTGGCGTGCTCTTCGATCCGCCGTTCTCTCCCTGCCATCTGTTATACTGAGAAATGGATCTCGGCCAAAAGGATCAGAAAAGCTCCTCATCATCTGCCGCATGTATTCATGGTGTGCGGCAAAAGGGTCGCTGAAAGAGACAATCCACAACACGGCGTTAGGGGGGCTATTCCAGCTGACGCAAAATAGCTCTGAAATTCTTAAATCCCTTTTTTAAAATCATTCTATATGATTTCTGCGTTCTTTATTTTAATGGGACCCAACTGTGCAGTAATTTTTACCCTTCTGCTCCTCCTTCCCACCCCTCTGGTTGGGTGATTTAGCTCCTTCTTCTCAGATGCCTTCCTTGCTCTCCTGTGTTCTTGACCGTCTGTCCACCCTGGATTTTCTCTTTCCTCAGCTGTTCTAAATTCTCCATCACTGGCAGCCATGTTTGGTTTTCTATCTGCCAAAAGCTACAGAACCAACCTATACTTTATCACTTTTTAATATTCAAATATCAGGGATTGGAGGTAAAAGAAGACCACTTTCCATGCTCCCTGGCCCCACGTCCTTCAAAGCACAGTGCACTAAATTCAATCCAACTCCATCACCTTTATTTTAATTCCCCACCACTGCTCCTTTTTGCCCTCCCATTCCTATACCTTCACAAATTACATTCTCACATCCCTTCTCACCACTTTGGAAGAATCCTTACCACCTCTTTGCTTTCTTGTTAGTCTCCCCATTCCTCTCCGCTTTCTAACCACTCAACATCTGTCTCCAAAACAGAACTCCACCAGTAATTCCAATGCTTGGCTTGGCATGCAGGTAAGTAATAAGAGAGCAACACTAGCAACGTCTTAATTCTTTGCTTTCTTTAATTTGTCCTAGGACTAGAAAGTTCAAACAGAGGCCAGAAAAGGAGTAAAGCATAAGATCTTATGACTTACGATGCTATATGAATTGCACTGCTGCCTCTGGCCCAAACACCAGAAATGACTACTTCATATAGAAAACATTTCATTTCCTCCCTTCATATCCAGACTAATTTTCCCCTTTGCTGCTCCACCGAAAGCCTCTTTATTAACATCACCAGTCACTTCCCAGCTATGTTTACTTAGACTTCGTAGCACCTCATCTCCCTTCCTACCAATTTCCTGCCATTTCCCAGATGTCTCACGCCCTCCTTCTCTCCAGGACTTTGCTGTGACATCGCTGCCTCCACAAAGGAAATTTCCAGGCTGTTCCTCCAACTCCGCAGTGCCCATCAGCTCCTGAAGCTGCTTTCCTCTTGCTCACCCCTCACCCCCCATCCCACACCCATCACCTCCTGGCAACTCTGATCTCTTTGCCCTTTACAGTCTCCTCTTACTACAAAGCAGCATCTAACTTAATTTTTCCATTTAAGTTAAAAAAAAAAACACAAAAAACAAAACATTAACAGAGATTCAGTTAGAAATGCAAAGCTAATTCATTTTCAAACAAGATTCCTAATCCAACAGCATCCCTTCAAGCTGTGCTCTTGCTCACTCCAGTGCAGTCAGACCGTTACAGTTCCACAGGAGCAGTTTTTCCACTGCCATAAGTAGACCCTAATCTACCCCACTCACATGACTGCCAGCTTTAACTTCAATCCCAAGGCGATAAGCAGCTCGCATACAGTGAGCTTGCTGCTCACAGGATGAAGAACAGATGCAAACAAGTCACTGCACAGGCCAACATGAGGGAAGCACGCAGGCCCTATCACAGCACAGGCATATTTCCACACAGTCTCAACACCACAAACTTGAGATAGGTGTAGTTACCAGGACAAAGATGGGTGAACTGTATCCCATCAACAGCTTAAACGTGAGATTGCTCCCCAGCCTGTCCCAGTTCAGAAGCAGTCACACAATTACAAGTGAAACAAGACTCCATGGGCTTCATTTAGATTAAAAAGAATTCTGCTGCTTTTAGTGTGCATAACACATAATAATGTGTCACCTAACGCAGTCATACCTTCTGAATTCTTTTTGTCTTACTTCACTCTGGTCCTCTCGGCCATTCACCTTCTACTACACACTGCTATGCTCATGAATGCATCCAAACTTAAGAGATTTTTGCACCTTTCAAAGAAAGTTCTATGAAACAATTTAGCAGCACAGCTCCTTACCACCACAGACAAGGAAGGAGGATCCAAACCGTGCAGCAACTGATTTGGGAACTGAGCTCCCATCTCTCCAGGGACATTGTGGAGCCAGCTGTAAGAAGGCTCGGTGTTGCCAGGCTTCCAAAGCAGCAGTACTGAGCACACAGAAGCTGGGCAAAACCAATGCTAAGTCAGCAGAGAATCTCCCTGCAAGCTAAGGCTTCTATAAGGGTTAAATGTATCCTCTTGATGTCACTGATGACCCAAACTCAAACCATAACTATGAAAAGAGTATGACACCCTTATAAAATATAAGCATCTATATATTAGAAAAAGGAAAAGAAAAAAAAAAGGCAAAATCTCTTTAATAACCCCAACAGAGGATACAAGATCTTCAGTCCTTTGTTCCAATCACGTTCTACAACACACATAGAGTAACCTTGTTTAGTTACCACTGGTCACCTGGTATTCAATCTGAATTTTTTAGGGAGAAATAAAAGATACTTGTGATGAGGCTGACATGACTTCTGCACACTTCGCACTGCTGCATTATAGAGGTGATGGTTGAAAAGGAAAGCAGTTCTGTAAGGATTTCACATGCTGAATCTGTGCCCTTCACATGTTAAACACCATAAATTCATCTTCCAAATTAAGTGCAGAACAGAACTAATTGGTACATTTGTCATTGCATGACTGCAGTAACAGAACCTGCACTTTTGTCTAGTACAAATATCACCTGACCTTCACTAGGCATTCAGGTGTCTGAAGGGATCAACGCAGGAAACCAAAAGCAGAGCCTCTGAGGGCACTGATGTCTCAACTAAGCATGCTGACATGAAGAAATAGATACTAAAAGCGTGACAGTGGATGCTGCTAGCACATGTGCTAGTAAGCATCTCCCCAAGATGCATCTCTCTGGGTAAGTTCTTCAGTGACCACGTTTAAGGATCCACATTTCAGCTGAAGGGTGCCATACTAAAAGCACAATTGCTGCTTCTTACATCAGCACATGCTCCCGTTTGGCTGAAATTCAGTATCCTAAAGCAATAAATTCACTTTGGGATTTTTGAAAACTGGGCTTTGCATTCAATACTTTTTTGTTTTAAGTTGGGTGGTACATAGGACTGAAGTTGCAGAACCACCTTGAAGACTTGGGGCCTGGAGCAGTAAGACAAAGGCTGTGCACTGAGAAGTGAAATACACTTAAACACACTTGGCAGGAGAGCTGCAGCTCCTGCACCTGTCTGAGCCATCAGGCACAGCCCTGCTGGTGCCTGGTGGGCACTTCCAGGACAGCTGCTCCAGATGGAGATGTTCCCTCTCAGATGCTATTTCCAGATCAGCAGTCAAAACCTCTCCTTGTGAGGCAGCAGAAGCCTATTATTACACTACTTTGGAAGCTCATCTTATCTGAGGTAATAAACTCATTTCCTTAACTATATGTAAAGCAGATCAGCAACAACGGTGCCAAGGAAATGAACCTCAATATCAACCTCTTATCTCTTTCACACACACTCCCTTCCCCTATCTCCTGCCACCTATTTTCCTCCAATTTTAACTTCATCAGGAAGTTTAAAACAGCTACAATAAAATGATGGAATTGAATAAACAAGAAGGCAATTGTTGTTTCAGAGGATTACAAAAGCACACTGCAAATTACTACAAACGAGACAATTTCCATCGTTAATCCCATTTCAACCAGAGGATCTGCACGGTCTTTAGCACGGTGTATCCTGGAACGAGTTGCTCTAGCTGCATATTTGTGTAGTAACCAATGCCAGGAAGGGGCTGCTGCAGCCGAGCTGGTTCCCTTTAAGAGGCACAGCCTCAGCTCAGACACCCCGTAACTATGGGATGCAGTCAACAAACCCACATCACAGGGCTCCTATGTTACCCTTCCTCGTCCACCCACCCACATCACCCTGAGCTTTCCTTGTGATTAAGCTCCATGTAGGAAGCACCGTACGCTAAAAATGGCTTTATATATAAATATAGGTAATAATTTGTGCTCCTCTGAGTTCTCACATTGCATTTTGACTCCCTCCCCTTGCAGACCAGGCAGGTTTCTGGCACTAACACACATCACACAGGTTTATTTTATCACAAGAACACCTAGAATTGCCTTTAATACACGCACTGACAACAGGAGCTGAGGAACAGCCCGTGGTTAAATACAGATATCTTAAAGAGCCCAAGAAACCGAGAACACCCAGCATGGCTCCCCGCGTCCAACAAGCTTACATTCAAAAATAAAACACAAAAATCAACCCCCGCGAAATTCAGACCCAGGAGCAGACGGTTTCTCCTCAGCAGACGCCACGTCTCATTACCACGAAGTTCCTCAGGCGCTGCGAGGCACTGGAAGCGAACAGCACCGCCCAAGCGCCGCTCCGGCCTTCAACCCCACCGCTGCCAACCGCGCCCCGCACGCCCGTCCGCCTCCCACGGCGCGACCCTCAGAGACCCACCGGACGGGCAAGCCCCGGCCCCGGAGCCCGCGGCGGCCCCACGCTCACCGGAAGAACGGATCCTCCTCGAAGCAGCGCCCCAGAGCCCCGAACATGGCTGCAGCCCCGCGCCCTGTGAGCGCCCACCGCCCCGCCAGTCCCTCACGGCGGCGCCCTCTCGCCCACGTGACGCGTCCCAGCGCCGCTATTGGCCGCGACGGGGCGGCGAGGCGGGGCTCCCGCTGCCGTGGCAACCGCTGCTCGCGCGCGGGCCCGCTGAGGAAGGTGCGGGGCTGCGGGCGGCGGGAGCGCGCGCGGAGCGGCGCCTCGGGGCGGGGGTGCAGCCGACAGAACGGGGCTGCGGGAGCCCGGGGTGCCCGGCGAGCGGGAGGGAGCGCCTTAGGAATAGTTTTACTTTTTTTCCACTAGATGGCGGTAAAATAAAGTCCCTGCGTTGCGAGGGAACGCCGCGTCCTCCCAAGCGTTCCTGTGAACGCGGGGCTCAGCTTGGCGCGCGGAGAGCGACGATCCCCAGTAAAAAGCATCGCGTTAACAGAAGCCATAAATAACGCGGCACCGAAAGCGACTGAGGCCGAGAGCCAACCGTCGGGGGCTCTGAAGGCGCACTGAGGGGCGGTGACGTCAACGGCCCTCACACGGCGACCCCACAGCGCGGGGCTCTGAGAGGAAAACCGGCACAAGGCGCGGGTGAGCGGAGCCGCCTTGTGAGAGTCGACCGGCAGGTGAGCTCCGGCCCGAAGCTCCTGTGAGGTGAGAGGGCATTGGTGCCAGGAACCTGCAGAGACCAGGTCCTGGACGGTTCGTCCACTAATCACCTGTCGGTATATTTTGATTCATTGAGAGCTGCCCTGGATCCGTTCGGCGTTTATTGCATTCCATATTATTGCAGTTGGTAATATACGTGTCACAGAATCACAGAATGGCCTGGGTTGCAAAGGAGCACAGTGCTCAACCGGTTCCAACCCCCTGCTGTGTGCAGGGTCACCAGCCCAGGCTGCCCAGAGCCACATCCAGCCTGGCCTCGAATGCCTGCAGGGATGGGGCTCCCACAGCCTCCTTGGACACCCTGCTCAGTTCCACACCTATTATGCAGTTCATAATATTCATTAGTATCCATGACATGCTGTGCTACGTTATTTATTACACACTCCAAACCAGCAAGGCAAGTTTCCATGAACATGACTAGCGCGTGGTTGTCTGCAGTTTGCCAACAAAACCTAACCAAACATATATATTTTTGCCAGCATTTATTGCTGTTTCTGAGCACGGTACAACCCAGGCTGCACGCTCAGTGTATGCAGTATAGCCTTTGTATGAATTCTGCCTTGTAATAACAAACCCATCACTTCTGTACAGTGACAAAGAGGCAATATGGAGCCTTCCAACAGCTGCTGAGAGCACATCCTATCATCTGCGGTTTGTCACTTAACTTTCTATGGAGTCAGGCTCCAGGAGACAAGATTTTGTTCTCAGAGTCAGAGCAGCCCCAGAGACGGATTACCGTGCAGATAACTAAGCAAAATGAGTTCCAGTTACTGTTAATTTTTTGGCTGCTGGTAGGAAGACGGGCCCTGTTAGAAGCGAGCTCATTATGAGAGGCTCACTAACACGATAAAGTCAGTACTCTATTTGCACAGAGTGATACCTCTAATTGCTCAGGCCTTCTTACGGTTTGTCTGCTTGAGTTAGATTTCTTTTGTGTAGATAAAAAGACTTCTGTAAGAAATCACCTCAGTGCTACAGCACTGTCAGTCTGGAGGGCATCTCCAATGAGATTAATGATGTCTGCCTTAATATAAGAAAACTTTGCATAAATGAGATTATGGTTTCTGCTGAAACCTGCCAACTCTTATTCATTTGCTGTAAATATTATCTTTAATTAAAAGTTTTAAGGTATCTTGTTCCTGAGCTAATGAGATCTACAGTGATTTCCCTCAGGAATTAATTTACCTTCTTAATTCTTATTCATTTCGGTGATATGACTATTTAAATCTGATTCAAACTTCAGAGCTTTGTTGAACATATTCATCTAGAACAAAAGGTCATTTTGCCATCGTGACGTTGAGTTGGTATTTGTAATTCTCTGTTCGCTCTCAGTTCCATAGGTATTTGTTTAGGTTCCTGCCCCAAACATTTCCCACTAACACTTCTGTTTGTCTTAGCTGCTCGTGCTGCGTGGCTCCTTCTGCAGCTGTTTCACTTTGGCTTCTGCTTTCTCTTCCACCTAGAGTAAAATCGATTACAGTGAGGCTGAAAAAAAGATCCTGATTGTGATCAACGTATTTGGAATTGCAGAGTTATGTAAGATATGTGTGCAATTAGTGGGAAATCAGAAATATTTGACACTCTATCCACATAGTCATCAGCTCCTGTTTTTGTACAAGGATATGTCTGACCACTGGGTATGCTCAGCACTTGGAGATGAAAACTGCATTACTGCATGCATGTCTAAATAAGCAAAGTGCCAACCAGCACCTGGTTTGTGAGAATGTGAACCAGAACCACATGAGGACTGCACACCACAGGGCAGGGTTGCTGGCTGGATTTGAGACACTTATTGTGATAGAAAACATTTATGTACACAGCCTGACTCTCCTTGTGTTCTGTACTTAACTAGGAAATACCCTTTAGAGCTATCGTTGTTTGAAAGGGGATAAAGACGGAGTGCTTTACACAGCCTGTTGTGGAAACCCATTGCTTGCTCTGTTCCTGAACTGCTGCTGGGTAAGGCACGCATTTTGTGGCACCAACTGAGTGAGTGTGGGGCTGTGCTATGTATAGGACCATCACTGACTCCTGCAAGTTGTTGATGGCCTTCCATTTATAACTTACTGCAGACCAACTTCCTCCCATCGCACACAAATTAGAGGACTATCAATAATGCATGAGCTAATAAGTAATGCTTGTGCGCTGCTGTCTGGGCAGCAAGTATCATTTAGACTGCAAGAGAGATCCTCGTGTTGTGTCAGGTAGAGTGGAGGCCTCCTGTACCTGTCAGGCTTCGGCAGCTAAAGGATGGGATTTTTGTGTGTCTTTAAGGCAGCTGAAGGAAGTGGTGAAACTCATTCTGTTAGATTCAGAGAAACGTGAGAGATCTGCTTCCTCTTCAAAATCAATCTTTGATTTCCTTGACTTATTTGATAGCTGTTTATAAAACATCAGGGCAAGAACTGCAGGAATTGCCAGATTGGGTTACCCTGAAGTCTCTGTGGTGTCCAGTGTCTTATTTACAAGTTCTCATGTCTGGATGTTTCATAAGAAACCACTAGAAAGTGCACAGCAGCTGTGTGGGGCACAGCCTGCTTTTGCAATTGCTCACCATTGCCATACAGAGTTATTGCCAGACTGCAGGATAAGCTTTTGTTTCTTTTCAGAAGTATTTTGGTGTTATTTATTCCATCATCTATGTAAGCAGTGAGCCCATTTGAGTTTCTGAGCTTTTGACTTTAATTACATCTTGTAGCGATGAATTCCTGAGTTCAATTTTTCATTCAGTTAAACTGCATTTGTCTTCATTAGCCCTAATTTTGTGTCCTGTTCTTCTGTTCTTCTTTTTGTTTACCAGAGTGAAAACTGAGGCATGTAAAATATACTGTCTCCCCCCCCTCCCTTTTTCTTTTCTTAATGAACAAACACCCCCCAAATACCTGCCTGGTCTCCGTGGGATCCTGAAGGGCTTTTCCAACCTTTATGATTCTATGGTTCTATGATACTCTTGGGGCAAAACTGAGCCAAGAATTCAGCCACCAGGCTGTAAGATCGAGCAAAGAGAAGTGCCAAATGTGTAGCATCACATCCCCAGGGGCTGTAAATCAGGAGTGACTTCAGTTACCTCGTGCCTGCTAGAGCCAATCTCCACAGGAATCTGAAAACCAAGCTTCTTCCTTCCAGCTTCAGCCCATCTGCACCACGTGGAGCTCCATTTTTCCACCATCCAAAATCAGTGACCACAGCTCAGGCAGTACCATGTTTGTTCACATAATTGAACTAATTCAGAAGATCCTGCCTGCCTTAGGCTGTTTGTCTCGCAAACTAAAAACAAATCCTGCTCCTTGAGCAGGGAATATTAAAGCCATATTCAAATAACTCCTGTAGAAAACAAGGCTATTAAATGCACGTTATCACAACATCGAGTTAATCCAGTTCAGAAATGATCACAGCGTATGACTGCCTTCACAAGTAACATGGGTACTAATTGTCGATTTCAATAGCGAGGAAGGGTTTTAATCGGTTCTGAAGAAAGCTTTAATTGCACAATACTTCTTAATTACATTTGCTGCAGCCCCTAACTTCCAGAAAGTGTTAGTTCTGCTTTTCTAGCTATTGAGAACCGGCAGAGTATATTAAAAATAGGTCCTTTTTCTGAACTGTTTTGGAAAAAGCCTGGCAGCAGATCACTTGGGGCTCGGATCTGTTCTGTGCTGCAGCCTGCCCTGCGCTGCCCAGCAATGTCAGAAGCAAGGTTGAAGGTAATTTGAGAGGGCTCAGACAATCAGAGCTCAACCCCCGTCCGTTTTGTAAGGATCAGCAGTTACTATTTAAATTTAAAATGTATTGGCATAAATGAGGAATCCTGACTTCTTACATTTTTACTGTTGAGCCCTTTTACGGGTGGCCTTAAAGATGCACTGCCATTTCCAGAGGCTGGAGTGTATTTTTAGTGGAAGCCTTTTGATAGCGTTGTTAAAAACTGATTGCATTCCATCCCTAACGTCAGCCTGATGCAGAGCATTTTGCAAAGGCAGTTTGTTATAAATTGTTGGTAAGTGTCAGATAAAAGCATCATTCTACTACAAGCAACTAGCGGTAGACATGTAATAACATTTACATTAATATTTTATTTAAATGTGTCATCAATTCACATAGTCACCCAGCTCTGTAACTGGTATGAATACTGAAATAATACGCCCATAGCCTACAGAAAAACACTCTGAAATTCACCAAGAAGGTATCCAAAACCACATCTGACATTTTTACAAATGTTGGCTGCGTTCAGTTTCCACTAATAACAACTATGACATTTGTTTATGTCTTCCCTTCAGCTCTGCGATGGGGGACGCAGCGCTGCAGGCAGCAGATGTGAGCAGTGGCAGCCCAGAGGATGGGGACAGCCATGCTGTGCCTCCAGCAGTGCTGGCTGCCCGGCCCAGGTCAGTGCTTTGTGCTGGCAAGGGATG